TTTAATCTGACATTGAATGAATCTTTTGCAGTTTGCAGCTTTTAATAGCTTACCTGGAATTCCACTCGACTTGTTATTCATAATTTTGAAATTCAATTAGACAATATAATTTATAAATTTTATTACAAGTGTTGCAGTTTATTTTATACACAGCTCGACTTCGTATGAGCAATGGGCCTTGTTTTTTCAAAGATTTATTGCTTTGAATTTTAAAGCTTACAAATAACAGTAAAAAAACTGAGGAGACTTATTCAAAGACTATGCAACATACATGCCTACTCAAGTGAAATAAAAAGCCAATTCAAAACTCTCAAGTTAATACAAAATTAGTGCGCGCAACTGAATTTTTGAATTAATTATGAATATAGCTATCGATTTTTTGGTACCTAAATATGTGTCAATGAAACAGCGGTTCTACCGCTTTTGTTGCAAGTTTTGCAAGTTCGTGGACACATATCCCCCATATATTGGAACCAACTTTTGTGGTTACATATTTCCGCTAACAAAGGACACATTTCATGCTTGTCAGCGCAGAATGAAACTTCACATAAACCGCACGAATGTGGACATTCCTGCTGTAACATCGCTGCGACCCACGGCACTTCAGTAACACAACCACCAGCCTCAGCAATTCCCGTACAGTTAAGACGTGAATCTGGAATAGACATCAGAGAGTGGGAATGTAATTTTTTTTAGTCGTTAAAAACAAAATTGAGAGAGAAGTTGAAAAAAACGTCTTTAGAAGAAAAAGGTCTTTAAAGTAGATACAGAGTATCCTTTTTTAACAGCATGTGACTTATCTTACTTTTACTGTTTTCGCATTGATAAGCAGGATCTCTGCAACACGTCATACACGTTCGACGACACTGGACTGCCAAACTTTTGTATTCGAGTCTTGTACAGTTAGCATCTACTACCCAACCAGTACTAGACGTATTATTTTGTTATTTAATATTATTTATTTTACTCCTTTACTTTTAAGAAATTAACTCGTTCTAAATGTACTAGAATTTCTTAAAAATGATCTATTGGAAGCTGTCAACTACCTGAGTTTAGTTGGCTTTTCAAAGAATCGTTCACATACGGCATCGCCTAATTTATTTGGGCATATTGAAGCAGTATCTTCAGAGCATGATGTTGTGGCAAGCGTTATCACAACATTGGTGGTTATGCATTGGTAAATAACAATCAGAAAAGTACTCAAAGAAAATCTGCTGTTCATGCCTGCAAAACTGTATTATAAAGTTTTGTTTGAATTTGCAGTTCAGTACCTAGTAAAGTAATAGTGTATAAATTTCTGCTTATTATGAGAACAAGATGAAAAAATTCAAGCTTAAAGTTTTCGTCAAGTTTATTGATTATACTTTGTAAAATAGTCTTTTGTCGTAGTTTGTTATTAAGGTTAAGCAATAAGCAAAGGATGAAAAAATAAAACTAAGTAACGCTGATCAAAAAAATATGTTTAGCAGTAGGAATAATCTGTAGTTTAAAAGAAGTGAGCTTTTTGACATATGAG